AAATAAATAAATAAATAAATAAATAAATAAAAAAAAAAATGCAAAAAAGTTGTGTTTGTCCTTATTGTTAACTTTAATCAAAATATACATAAATGTACATGTATTGAATTACAATAACATAATAAAACATAACAAAAACATAAACACATAAGGAAACATAATAAAAACATTTTTTCTTTATAGTTAACTTCATATTTTTTCTATTTAGTAATTAAATATTATGTTTTTAATAACTAATAGAACAAGTTAAAAACAAAAAAATAGTTTATTTAGTTAATCACTTTTTTCAAATACAACAACAGATCTTAGAGATCTTAAGCAGAGTATATTAATATTAAAAAATAAATATATGTCGGAGAAATATCCGACATATACAATAATATATGCTAATCTATCTAATCGATCCCTCCAGAACAATCCAATACATAGCACAAAGAATTTAATTTTTAGATAGAAGAAGAAAAAAAAAAAAAGATTAAGATTTATGTTAGGATATTTTTGAAATTTTTAATGTTTAATTTCCGCTTTTAATACATTTTTTTCGGTGGTAATATAAATAAAAAGAAATACATAAATATATTTTCTACATAAATAAAAAATTGGTCTCATAAAATCAACTTCATATCCGTGCTTTTTAAATGGTTCCGTGCTCGTCTTTATCTATAATTTATAACTAGCATATAAGGATATGAAATATATATAGAGTTTTGTAGTGGTGTAAATTTAGTTTAGTACCATCCTTTGTCGGACTCCTTGACATCACGTATACGCAGTATCCAAGCACGTTTCTCGGCGTGAGTAATGCTCATGCGATGATTTTTGGTTATGACGTGATTTTGTATCGTTAAAATCGTCTGTGTATCGACACGTAGCCACGCAATCTGCACAAAGAGAAATAAATACACATATACATATACATATATATGGATATATACGTGAGTGCAAAATTATGAAACTAAAACGCTCGACTTGCTCTAGGTGCAAAGTTAATGCACCGCTAGCGTGGCCCAAGCTCATTTATTAGCCCAAAGACACCAAAAATGTCGCCGAAAGGCGGCCAACGCTTTGGCTAATGAGAGTGTGGGGCTCTGATGTAATAAATGTTTTAGCTTTAAGTTGTGCCATTTTAAATTTAAAAAAATAATAATAATAATAATAATAATAAAAATTTAAAATGAAAATGAAAATTGACTAAGTCAAGCTTTGAGTATTCCTTATTGCATAGTTTACATATAATTACTATACAGTCTGGAGCACTTAAAGTTGGGCATAGACAACCGAACAACTTAGGAGTTTTATTTAAATGTATTCCGGTCTATGGCGTTGACGGTCGTCCCGTCGTACTCGTAGAGCGCTCAAATTATAAGGTAGAGATATTGTTGTCTTTTTGCATATAGCACTCTGTTATGAAAGACATCAATTCACTAGCTTTCAATTTGTACGCTTAAATGCAGCAAACAAAGGACAACAGAGAATGGACAATGGACTACGGACAACGGACGATAGACGATGGACTAGGAACAATGGCAAACAACATTATTTCGAATTACCAACATAATAAGTATCACATTCACCATTGGAGAATGGGCTGCTGGCCAACGATATCATCATCATCGGGCGGCAGGCCAAGCCGTAAGATTATCAATTTGTTGCGTGTGCCTTGGCCAGGTCCATTTGCTACCTTCATTGGGAATGGGCCTAAGAGCTGACTAACAAAAATTTGTGGCCAGCCGTTTGCTATTTTCGTTTTTCGGCAATTCATTGAGCAACATTTTGTGCTCCTCTGCTTTTTTTTCTGGTGGCCTCTGCCAGGGTCGGTCACGAAATCAAAGTGACGCCCAAGGGGCTTGAAACGTGCTTCGTTTGCCGGGGAGTGAAAGGTAACTGGAACTGAACGGAAAACCCTAACGAAAAAGGGTCAATGCAAATGGCGCACGCATTATGCGTTTAACGAGACGACACGCACACAAAGTGGGAGAGAGAGAGGCAGAGAGAGAGAGAGAGAGAGAGAGAGAGAGAGAGAGAGAGAGAGAGTGAGGCAGAGAAACACCCACCTACACACACGCAAAGTGAAACTATGCCACGTTTTATTTGATGAAGTGTAAACTGTTTGAAATGACAGCGCCGCCGGCAAATTTCCATTAGGAGTAACACCTAGCCGAGCACCGGGCCCATCTAATTGCTAACGGATTGCCAAACTATCATGGGACACGCCCTCTAAACGCCCATTCGAGGAGTCGACTTACCTTATACGTTTGCAAATTGTCAACGACACACTGAAGCACAGCCTCACGACCAACCGGCACGGTGACGTTCTGCAGGAGTTCTCCAAACTTGGGCAAATCTGCAAATTGAAATGAGAAATGAAGGGAATCGGGTTAACTTTAGCAATTGGAGTGCGCACTGAATCGGTCTAATCTAAAACAAGGTACATATCAGAGTGTTTCCCGTATTCGAGTTTTGAAACCTCTGTATATACCTTTCATTAGATTCAACTGAAAGTCCATAAATATTGATATATTATGATGATTTTCCAATTGTGATGAAATCATTGAGTTCAACTTATCTTAGAATAGGGGAGCTTAACTTAATCTGAACACTCAAGCTAAGAGCCTCGATTCTTCGATAATGCGACTAACAGCAACTAATTTAACTGTGAGAGTGATTCGATAGTTATTAATTAATTAACTAACAATTTATATATAAATAGTAAAAAACTCTGCTAATATATAAATAACAAAAATCTGCTAATATTGTAAGTGCATACTGAAATATATATAATTCTATAAATATAATAAAATAGAACTAGAGAGAAGACGGAGAGAGAGGGACAGCGTTGACGAGTTAGTGTGAGAAAGAGCGACAATGAGAGAGAGGAAGAGACAGAGAGTAAGAGAAGAGACACAGGAAAACAGAAAGCGAGAAAGCTACCTACACTATCTAAAAAAAACCAAAGCTCCCATTTCGTGTTTAAAAATGTGTTTGCATTTATATTATTA